GATGTTGAAAATAAATTACAATTTGGAGCAGGAAAGCATCTCCATATGATGACACTCCCCCTAGTGTTCTTGTGATGATATTTTAATGTTTGTTAACTCTTGTCTGTGTTGATGAGTCAAACTTAGTTAAATCAGTCCACAAAACATTTCCCCATTAGTAATGGGGAATGCTGATGTGCTCTTCTGCAGCCTCCACTTGATGTTTCCTTGTTTTTTTAGACAAACAAACTGATTAAGTTCCCTCAGATCCCTTTTTTCCCAGCAGCTAACTCAAATATTTGAGTTTTTTTTTTTTTTTTTTTATCAGTCAAAGAAGTGCCAGGCCACACTTTTGGTCTTGTTTCACTGATTGGATTACAGTTTTCACAAACTATTTACATAATTTTAGCTTTTGTTGGTGTTATTAATCTCGTGGCTCACATAGTTTTTCCAACCTACACACTGTAAATGTTTGATTGACACATTTAATACAGACAGGAACATGAATTTTCAGACTCCTAAGATAAACTTTTAAGAAACAAATAGCAAAGAATCAGATGGGGAGAACATATCAAATTAGTTACTGTGTACTTACCATGGCAGGGTTGACTGTAATGTTGTCGTTACACCTGTCAGCTCTGCATTGCAAAACACTGTGTAAAGCATGAGCGATGGAATACACAGCAGAATAAACAGTGAAAGAGAAAGACTGCTCTGCAGCAAGGATCTCCTCAGCACTCACGTTACTACAGTTACAATTCTGACTACAAAAAAACTTTTGTTCTGTATTTTTGCAATTCTGGGCTTTAAAAGAATAGATAAAATCACTGAAACCAGGTATTGCTACTGCTTGTTCAGAAATCCCGAGTACAGTTCCAATGTTTTTGATTCCTTTTTCTTTGGGGAGCCTCTTGTTTAAGGACCACGCATCCCCTGCTATCCACACCCTGTTGGTGACATTTAATGCCATTGCTGACTCAATGACAGCTTCAGCAAGCCATTCAATTGCAATAACAATAATGACATTTATCTTCTGTGCCTCTATCTGTCTAAACACTGAGGGGTAATGTGTGTCATAACTAAGGGCGCTGGAGTATGCCAGGCAGATCCCAGTGTCCTGAATCATCTCTTTAAACAATTCCAGGACATCTTTGCCATAGTCATCATCACTGTAGAGGAAAGCAACCCAGCGCCAGTCGAAGTGTCGCACAATGTGAACAATCACTTCTAAGGTGTCTTGGTTGGGGTGCACCGTCCGTAAGAAAGATGGAAAATCTCGTTTTCTTGATAAGACAGAAGTAGAAGCTCCATAACTGATCTGTCAAGAGAGTAATAGAGAAATTGTCATTATTTTCAACAAATGTGAAATTCTGTTCTGCTTTGGAACAGAAAATTCATATGAAATCATCTTTCTCACACAAGAAAAAAGAGACAAAGCAATCGAGATCAATTGGTAGATTTACCATAGGAATAAGATGCATCATGAAGAGTGGAGCCACAGTCAGACTCTCCGTGCTTGTATAAGCTCCAATCACTCCGATCACTTTGGACAGATTCTTGTGATTTTCATCCCAAGGTTTGATCAAGTCATTGACTGAGATGAGTTTCAAAATTCCTGGGAAACTCTGCGTATCTGAGCAGTGGTCAAATATGTCATAGCCGAGAGATACATTAGGCAGTAGGCTGGTGGAGTTATTGATCTGCTCTACAGCGAATCTCATCAGCTGAAACCTCCGATAATTTGACAGAATTAAAGGTTGACTGTGGGGAGAGGAGGACCCAGACACAGTGTAAGAATTAAGAAAACACAAAACAGTCAACACTATCAACTTTGTGATCCCTAAAGAGACGTGAATAATTAAAGGATGATATTGTGCTACAAGAACTGAGGTCAGCAGTGCAGACTTGATGTCGTCCAACAAGTTTGATAATGCAGCAATTAATTTGATTGGTTCAAGGCAATTTAATTAATATCAGCTCTCGCTATTGCACCAAAGTCAGAACTGTTGACCAAGTAACAATCGATTGCTGTATGTGTTTTTCATTAGTTTTATATTGAGGCGATTCATTTTGAAACTCACCTGGTGCAGTCGATGGCTTCTGGTCTGTTGTGATAAAGAGGGCTACTGATTTGATGAATATTAATAAGTCCACCAATCAAATAATCTCCTTTTAAATGAAACTCTGAGGCTGGGACAGTGCATCGAGTCAAGGCATGCAGAAAAGATCCCAGTAGGCACAGACAAGAAAGAATATGTTTCATTGTCATAGTTACCATTTGCCAATGTAGTGTAAACTCTAACACAGTTTAGCTTTGCTGTTTGTAAGTTGTCAGACACTGGTGACAGTGGAGCTCCCGAGATTATTTCCATCTACTTGTGAATGCATGAGGTATCAAAAAAACCAATAATGGCTGGAGGGGAATTTACAAATCAGTATGCAAACATCGGATCTGCTGCTGCAGAGTTCCTGTGAAATTCAGATTATTCACAATGTTAACACCACCTAGCTAGTATTATGAACATCATCCTCAGTCGTGGAAGAAGTATTAACCTTTACTTAAGTCAAAAAATACCACTACAGTAAGCTAATGCACACACGCTCTCTTACTAGTTAGCTGCTACAAAGATGATGCCAAACGAAATGTTGTTGTATTTTTGTACAATGACAATAAAGCTTCTTTTTCTACTGCAGGGTTTGTACTGCATAACAAACCCTGTTTAAGTACAAAAGTTTGAGCAGCAATAGCTTCTGCCAGACTGTCCCCCACATTGAGCCTGTTCATCTGCTCAGTTTTGATGTGTGTGAAACACAAACTTGTCACTGATTTCACTGATTTCACCCGGCAGTTCTGTGATATTCAAGCAGTATATATACATACATCAGAGTATCTATTCCTACAGAATCCTCTCGCGAGAACACAAGGATTCAGAGTGACAGAATGCTCTGGCGGTCATTCGGGATTCATAGAACCGTAGTTACATTTGTAGGTTTTGCTCTATTTCATCCCTGCTGACCAGCAGAGGCGGTGCTTTAAGCACTGAATGATTTATACCAGCAAACTCACGAGGAATCCTGATTACAAGCCTTAATGAGTAGAATCAGAGGACTCCGGCAACTGAACCACACCCAGTGGATGGGGGGTAGAAACACTGACCCTGTAAAAAACCTTGAGAATGTTCCTGAATATCTTCTAGGGGTACTCCTCTAAGGGCAGCCCATGACGTAGAGACACTCCTGGTGGAGTGGCATTTCACGCCTGAT